GCACAAAGATACTACTAAGGAGTGACAGAGATTTAAAACTGTGCCCACGAAATGGGCAGGAATCCGTAGAAAAATAACCAAATCCTCCCACCTTAAAATTAAATTGTTACACTTTAAAAATGTTTCATAGAGACAAAAGAAGTTACTGTATTTTATTTTTGTGTAGTTTCCAAATTATAATTTTGGTTGCAGTTTAATTTAGATTTAAGATGTCAATTGCATAAGGTGTTCAATTCACATGTTTTTATAATTCCGTGTAGGTCCACAAGGAGATCCTGGATTTCCAGGTCCTGCTGGTGATCTGGGGTCAGTTGGACCAATTGGTCCTGCAGGCCTGCTAGGAAGACCAGGAGATGATGGAACAAGTAAGAGAAGTAGGGGATAAAATGTGAACTACATATCAGTAGGAAAGAAAGCAGCTAAAAGAAAACTGTTCTGTGTTCTTGCTTGATGCAAATCACCAACATAAGGATTTGAGTTCTACAAAGAGTTCAATAAAAATATTAGCTCAGCACTTAGTGGCCAAAAAAGAACCAAAATGATCCAAACAGAACATTAGGAATTACTAGAACAGGAACAGAAGACAAAGCAGAATGCTACCATGCACTGTAAATCCATGGTATGCCTGTATCTGGAGTGCTGTGCTCAAAAATTCTATTCTCCATCTCAAAAAGATATAAAGGAAGGTGATGAGGATGACTTTGCTCTGTATAAGGAGCTAGATTAACTGGGATGTCTGGAAATGCGGTAATGGGGAGGAGGGAAAGAAGCATTTGAACGTCTAAAGCAGGAGCCTCTTTTCCTGGGAATCCTGGAAAACCTAAAGATTTAGATTTAAGTCTTTGCTATATAGAAGCTCTTCTTCAGGACAGTTCTGAATGGTCTGTAATTTCCTCCTTGATATCTTGTAGTAATTGTTACTATGAAGCTGTATGGGCCATATACCACCATTTTCTTTATAGGTCTGCCTGGCCTGCCAGGAGTAAGTGGGGCACCAGGACCTCAAGGTTTTCAAGGTGACCCTGGTTTCCCTGGAACAGGTGAATCAATCCCAGGAAGACCTGGTTTTCCTGGACCACCAGGCCTACCGGGACAGCCAGGAAGACAAGGCTTACCTGGACTACCCAGTAGGTTCAACAGCAATTTATATGGCGAGAATATCATGCTGCATATTAATAGATTAATTGCTTTTGTTGCTCCTACAAAAACCAGAGAGGTGAAAAGTGCATTTTGACAGATATATCAAACTTTACACATGATGTAGAAAACATGTTTTTCCTATTAGTTGTCGGCCAGCGAGATGTCAAGATTTTCATAGTTTTCTGGATGAGTTAAACCCACAAAGTAACATATATGACAAATGTCCCTAAAAATGTATCACCTGAAGTTAACACAGCAAACTGGGGAGGAAACCCAAATCAGCATCCTTTAGTAAAGAAACAAGAGTCGTAAAATTCTACAGTGGAAAAAGGAAGAAGTAATGGCAATGAAGAAAACATGTGTCAACATCAACTCTAGCCAGACTGACTCCTGTGGTATGATCTATAAGCAACGACTTGTAAAGCATTTCATAAGATCTCTAGCTTTTCCTGTGAGGATAACAAGATAAGGGAGAGGAGACCATATGACCTAAGCGGTGGAAGCAGTCAACCTGATTTATGCTAGCTGTACAATTTGTTTTTTCAAAGGTGTAATCTGTACTGACAGAGGGATCCCTGGAGAACCTGGAGCCAAAGGTCAGATAGGCCTTCCAGGAAGAAAAGGTGAAAAAGGAGAAAAGGGTAAGTGTGCCTGGATAGCAACAATTGGAATACGAGACCTTTGCCAGATATGTCAGACCTAAATTTGCAAGAAGTTTATGGTAACTTGGAGGATAAGGCCCATCAAAGTATGAAGTTAAATGGCCTGTTGGCATTGGGGCTTCTAAGTCAGTAGTCATGTCAGTGCTGCTGTTACTCAGCACTGTGAAAAGAGACTGATATGCTTCACTCCTTTGAAGGCCATAATGAGATAAAATGGTCACTACTCACACAGAAAAGAAAAAGGGCAGTGTTATTTTTTGTGTATTAATTCTGCAACTGTTTCAATGTAATTTTGACGCATTCACGTAGGCAATCAAGGCCTCTGCTCATGTAGTGCTGGTCCTCCTGGTCCCCGTGGTATGCAAGGACCTCCAGGTACTCAAGGAAAGAAAGGACAAATGGGATACCCTGGAAGACGTGGAGAAAAGGGCGATCCAGGCTTATCTGGTGCAATGGGATCACCAGGGCTCCCTGTGAGTAGTTTTCATGAGCTTCAGTAAATAAATAACATCAAGTTACCACTTACGCAGGAGGCACTTAAGCAGAGTGGTGGAGGAACTGCCCTCGAAATCTATCTGAAAATTTTATCTACTTTTGCTTATTACAGTCTTGTTGGAGGATGCATTTTCTTAGCTTCTATCTGATTTCCCTTGCGGTGGTGGGCAGAATTTTACACTGAGGGACAGAATCCCATGCTGTGTTTGTGGGGTGGTCAGGAGGCTTAGGAAAGATGGTGTATTTTCATCTTGTTTTGTTTTGACTTGTTTTTACTTTTAGTTTTGAATACCCATTGTTTTTCTTGAAAACATTGTAGATGCACAAATTGCTCCACTGAAGATGATTTTTCAGGTATTTCAAAGGAAAGCATTTCCAGCAAAACCTTATCAAGGCAAAGAATTGCATGATGTCAGCAGGTCAAGATGGATTCTATGATTCAACATCCACCTGGGGGGGGGGGGGGCAGGGTCTGAAGAAAAAGGAACCCTTGATTTTATTCAGGCATTTCAAGTAATTTTCTTTATTCCTTTTTTAGAAATTAATTGAAAAGCTTAATTTATTTGATATGCTTAATTTATTTTATGAGGCAGTCTGAACATAATGTAGAGTCTTTCACTCCCACAGAGTCTGAAAGGCATTGCTATTTGTTAGTGTTTCTCTCTTTACTGTTCCATCTTACTTTATAATCTCCCATTTTCAGTCACTACTCAGCCAAAGTTTGTTCTCCACAAGGATCAGCCATGATAGAGAATGCCTTATCTCTCTATGCATACATATTAGCAATGAAGCTGAAATAAAGATGGAATAAAATTTTTGCCCTTGATTTAATAGTTCTTAGATGGAAAAAATACTATAACCATCAAAATAAAGACACTTCATTTGCTTGAATAGCTTCCTTGCAAGTTCCCCAAGAGCAGAAACTGAACGAACTTTTTGGTAGTAAAGATTCTGAGTACTAGAATCATTTGACATCAGCATACAATGTTCATTTTTTCCTGTGTAATGAATCTGACCTCCAGTTTTTCATGGAAAAACCCTACAAAGATTTTTCATGTCAAGGTGGGGGGAAGAAAATAATTAAGAAATATTTAAAAGATACCTTTAGGTGAGATGTGTATTTCTATTTTAATATTGGCTGTCAGCAGGATTAACAAACAAAACAAATTTGAGCTCAACACCTAGATGTTTCCTGGGTCAATAATTTGCTGGGTGATGCTTACCTAACTCAGTGAAACTAGCTATTACTTTTGGAAACAGACATTTTCTTTAATGTGCTTCATATAGTTTATCTTATTCCCCACAGTAAGCAATAATTCAAAACACCACTTAATCTAACTGCCTTAGGAATATATTATAAGATGATTTATTGGACTTGCTGTGATTTTGTTCCACCATTTCTGTTCTGGTATGTGGAATATACATCCAGGATGCTGCATACCAAAATTATGCCAAATAGAGGGTTTTTTTAATATACTTTCTTGTGTGTGAGAGCAATTTCTTTGAAAATATAGGTGGATATGCTTGGCTTTATGACTGTTCCATTATGGGTTTTTTTGTTTGTGTTTTTTGAGGTTTTGTTTTGTTTTGTTTTAATATCAGAAGTCTTTTTCACATGAGGAATTCCTTAAAAGTTTCCAGAACATTTTCTTTCAAAAGAAAGAAAACAAAACAAAACCATTGTGAGACTGAAGGAAGGAGGTGGAGGGGCTCTGTCATTCTAGTTCCAATGGTTTCATTACAAGCTTTGCGTTTGGTTTTGTTTTTATTTTCTTAAAATCCTATTATCTGTGCGGATTATGTGATATTTCGATCTTTTTGTTACTTTTGAAAGTATGCTTTAGCCCCTCTGGTTCTAAGTAAAGCCTGAAGCCTTGTCCTGAACACTTTAGTGTTCTTAGGTTATTTAAGTGAGAAACAAGGACAAAGTAATCAGTTTGGAAAGAAATAATTCACTTCTGTACAGAAGTGCTTTGGTCTAATGATTGCCTACATACACATACTTTTTCCATTTTTCTGCTCTCTTTTCTTCCCAAATATTTAATTTCACTTTTCAAACACTAATAACTGGTCACTGCCAACTTGAAGATCTAGACATTTTAACAAATAGTCACTGCTTGTTTCAGATACACCACATTTTTCAGAATTCTCCTGCCTGTTTTACAATTATCATGATTTACTTTATAAATTGTATTTTCTCCACCTATTTCTTAGTAAAAGATTTTGAATAACAGAGGGAACTGGCTAAATAATACCTCAGTTTTTCAACCTTAGTGGCCTTTTTCTTCTGTGTAAATTTCACATGGTAAAATATACTTATCTACGTGTACTGTTGCAAGATCAGACCCTCACCAATGATGATATGCAAACCGCACTCTGCTTGGAGAACCGAGAGCACAAATCAGCATAAAAATATAGAAAAGTACTTCTTTTCCCCTCTAAACCTGTCAAGTCATAGATTCTTCTGACAATACCAGGTACCTAACTAGACGTAGATGAAATTTTTTTATTGGCAGCTTTGTGGGCTTTCACTCAGCAAAAAAGCATCACTTACCTACTGCCATGTTCACTTCTGGGAGGACAGCCTCATCCAGCAGTCACCGCACTCCAGAGATTCCCTTCCTGTGAGGCCTTGGTGGATTGTGGGTTGAAGTCTGCACAGGGAAGAGTTTGTGAATCATTTGCATCTTAATATTTTTGCATTTACAGCCACAGCTTTATACAGCCATGGACCCGATTCTTCTAGTATTACAGTTTCTTATAGTTGTGTATCTGTGCATCTGGCAGAGTAAGGCTGAAAAGGCCAGGTCCCATTCACACACCTCTTTGCAGATATCAAAAGAGATAAGCGTTTCTTTTTGGCATGTTACTTTAATTGGTCTGGTTTTGGGAAACAATTCAAGAGCAAGAGATAGAGATATCTAATTTTCTCCTCAATTCCCACATTGATTCCTTCCTGGAGATAACTGACTTTTTTTTTTTTTCTTTTTTTTTTTTTTTGTCAATGTTAAGGGGACACCCGGTTCTGCTGGACAACATGGTGAAAAAGGAGAGAAGGGTGATCCAGGAAGAGTTAGAATAAAAGGTAAACACAGATTTTATCATTAGCCTTTTTGTTTCGTATACAGTGCTTAGGCAATAGTATGAGAAAAGCATATTCATCTACTCTTTAATAAAGTCATTAATTTAGTAAGTTACTGAAGCCGAGAGGTCATGTATATGCAAACTGCTTACTTGGTACCATCTCATTCGTTTTCTTCTTGCTCAACACAAGATCAACACAGGATTTTGTGGGTTTTGCTCTATAGTTGAGCCATAAAACAGTTTAACAGCTGGTTATTAATGCTAACAAATGACTTTTCATGTCATATGATTGATAATCAGGGTCTTACAGAGGTCTGTATAACAAAGACTAAGCAGAGTGCAATTATTGTGAAAGCATGAAGAAATACTATTGTACAGAAGCCACCTCCTGAAGTGTCATATGCCAGTATCCCAGCTGTTCTCTCAACTTAAATCACCAACATTCTTCTTGGGAAAAACTCAAAGTCTCAATGGCTATTCAGATTCCTGCTCCTATTTCTAAAAATTACTCTTAACCAGGCATTGAAGAGAAACAATAGGCCACCAGTTGCACAACTGAAATTCTTGTAATTAAATAGATCAAAACCTCTCCACAGTTATGGTTATAATTTGCAAAAGCAGAAGAAACAGAGAACAACAAATTACAGCAATCTGATGGCAAAGCTTAGTTAGAAATGCTAAACTAATTATGCAGACAAAAGATTGTCCATCTTACTGTTTGTGAAAAGTTAGCTTAGCTTTGGATGCCTGTGTTTGTTTATAGATGTTGGAGCAGGGCAAAACATTTGCTGTTTATTTGCAAAGGATTTCTTGACGCAGCAAAATGAATCTTTGGGTTGGAATAGTTTTATTGTCCTTTATGCAAAAATGACATTTTCATAAACGTCAGTGCAAGAGAAATCTAGGGGTAAAAAAAGAAAAAATTAAAAACCTTTTGGGAGTATTGATGCAAATATTCTGCATCATATGGCATTGCTATATCCTGATTTCACTGAAATCAAGAATAAAACACTGACTGATTTCAATAGCAAAATGTTTTCACTCTATATATAGCATGAACAAAACCCACGTTCTTGTGGTGCTTGTAAGCACATCTTACAGAGAGACCAAGTTGTTTCATGAGGTGTCCAACTACATACTGCCTTCCTAAGCCTAAAATACCTCATTAAGGAAATGTGAATTCAGGAACTGGAAATTATCATACAGATATGATGAATGGTTACTCAGCATTTACCGGAGCAGAAATAAAAAAACCCAAAACTTACTGCAAATATTGTACTTCATTTTTTTTCAATTATTTTAAGGAATAAAAGGTGAAAGAGGTCTTACTGGGGTTCCAGGATTTCCAGGCCAAAGAGGTAATGATGGCAGAGATGGGGAACTAGGATTGCCTGGGGAAAAAGGAGCTGAGGTACGTTTGATTTTCTCAGATTTTTTTTCCATTTCAGTGAACATACTGTCTTATGAAAGGGCTAGCTACTTAATGCAAATTCCTAGCAGATTAATCACTTTTATCATTTTATGTTAGCCTAGATCAAAAATCGTAGGTTTTATCCATTGAGAAATTATTTCCTTGGAAGTATTACTGTTTATTTTGGTATTCCTGAATATGATTTCTGCATGTACTATGTGCCAATATTATGGGATCAGGAAGAAAAAAAAAAAAAAACACAAAACTCTACCCTTTGTTGCTATTGCCTTTGAATATTTAAATATAGTAATATCATCCATGTAGTCACTTAATTATGGAAGAGTGGTTTCTCCAGATAATTCTCTAACATGGCTTTTGATAATCAAAGAGAGGAAAGAAATTAGGTCTTGTTATTTCTTAGCAATTTCTTTCTTTTAGGGCGATTCTGGAGTACCATTGCCGGGTGATAAAGGATTCCCTGGGGTCCCGGGACTTCCTGGGCTAAAAGGACAGATGGGATTGCCTGGTTTGGGGCTTCCCGGCCCTCCAGGAGTCAGAGGTAGCCCTGGAGACTTTGGTGATACTGGTCATGTTGGGCCACCTGGTCCAAAGGGCCAGAAAGGTAATTTTGAATGTTTACATTAAGAACCAAGTAACAAAATACATGTTTGGTAGCATCCATTACAGTTGCATGTGTATTATATACAGTGCTGTTCATTTGTAGTGAAAATCAATTTTGGCAAGCTCTGGTCATGTGAAATATAGCTACTGAAAAGTACAATACTGTCAGCATTTAGCAGCAGACACTAATGAGAATATGAATTGCTAGGGCCTTAAACCTGTAATGTGCCACTTGCACACTATCAGATGAATTCTTTTCTGGAGTGAAGAGTATTCCCGAGTGTACAGATTCGCAAGGCAATGCTTTTTTGCTGAAGAAGCAGGAAAATACAACTCATACTTAAGGCTTGGTCTGTTTTTTGGTTATAAAAAATCCCTACCAAAATAATAAAAAACTACACTGATAGCAATATGTATGAACCAGAAATGTACATAGAATTGAGATGAAAATATTATTTCTTTCTTGCAACAGACTAGTGTAAAGACAAATTTCTGCGATAAGTAAAAAAAAAAAAAAAATCTTTGTCTTTACAGAATACAACTCTATTACAACAATTTGAATCATTACAATATTCTATAGAAAATAAGTGTCAAGAAAAAGGTATTTTAATATTCTCCATCAAACCTTAAGTAATACGGAAATAACAATGTGCATAAACAGTCCCTTCTCTTTACCTTTGCACATCTAGTTGCTCAGTTCTACAGAAATATTACAGTAAATGTTCAGACTCCATTTATTCTAAGATCAAATAGGCCAGTTTCTTTCTCCCTCTTGCTTCAGGTGAGACTGTCTGCATCACATTACCATACCCTGGAAATCCAGGTCCCCCAGGTTTTAAAGGTGTTGAAGGTACGTTTACAGATGGTAGAATTTTTGGTTTTAATTGAAATGGACTTTTAAGTTGCTAATTAAAAAAAAGAAGCTATCCTAAAAAGATACGCTATTCTAGTTTTTCAATAAACACATATCTCAAAATGTAAAACTGCAAATACACAGGAATATACTCATCTAATAGAATGAAGGGCCAGACAGCTGCAGTTTGCATGATGAAAAGGTGTGCAGGCTGCCTCCATAGAAATTACTAAATGAAGGTAGCTTGAAACTCTGTCTTGCCTCAAATAAAATGCATGAGAGAGTCTGTAAAATGCGCAGATGTCTGGAGCCAGGTAAGACCTAGAACATGCACATCTGGATACCAGGGAAAAAAAGGTGTGCGAGGCAAAGATATGCTGCAAGTCTGCAATTTCTAAAACTATATTGCTCATGGCAAGTTGCAGTTGAGACCTAAAATCTGAATACTTATTACCATTACTTCAACTTGTTCAACTTAATTTAAATTCAAAGAACTCATCCAGGAACTGGCAAAATGTTGCTTGTGATCACCTCCAAAACATTTGAAACACTCCTGAAAATCCTGATCAGAACAAATGGAGATACTGGATTTTCAAGCTGCTTAATGTGGTATTACACAGCTCCCTGACATCAGTATTGTGGATGGTCGCTAAAATTTATACAGACATGAAAGAACAGGGATTAGCGTATTGAGCTCATCTGCACCATTCCAGAAACAGCATATAGCACAGGAGAATATAAGAATTTGAGTTGACACCTGTCATTCACTAGGTTAACATTGTTGATGTCCTGTAACATTAAAATGTTATAGGAGATTTTTTTTTTTTTTCTAATTTACTCTGGTGATTTGCAGGCTCCTGTTTATGGATTAGGGAACAAGTCAATTTAGAAAAACAGCAACCATGCATTTCGTTGTGACTTGGGTGGTGGCTCTTGCCCAAAATGTTAGAAGCAGATGAAATCCACTTGTCTTCAAAGTACATGAATTCGCATGGGATAAAGATGCAATACTGTTTCCTTAGATCACATATTTTAGAGCGTTCTCCGTTTTTTACATATTTTCTTTATGTTTCCAGGACCAAAGGGTTTAAAAGGACTCCCCGGTCATCCTGGACCAAATGGCTTCGATGGGCAAAAAGGCCATCGAGGCAGGCCAGGAGCAGGAATTCCTGGGCCAGAAGGTGAATTGTGCTTTTCTTAATCCAGGAGAGCTGCTGGTCAAGCTGTAATGCATACATGCAGGGTAAGGTAGCTACTATGGTAGAACAGAATAGGAAGCACATTTCAACGAAAGCTAATAGAAGAGGAATCTTTACCGGTTTCCCTTTCTTTCCTCCGGCATTGCAGGTGCTGCAATAACCTAAAGCTCAGTGTCCAGAGAGGAAATATTCTTAGAAAACTGAGAACAAGTAGTATCATTTTAGCAAAGGGATTGAACTGGACAGGAGTGACACAATATAGATGCTGCCCCAAAGAAAACCAATGTCACTTCCCACAGGAATAATTACCTCCTTCAGTCCTCACGTATCATTAGCTGTAAATGAGAAACCTGAAATTTAATGTATGATGTTATTTTTCTTTGCAAAGTGGTAGTTTAATTCTAGTTAAATTTGCATTATAATATTCCACAGTTTTGGGGGGAGGGGAAATACAAAACTTCTGAATTATGCTCTATTTGAATTTAAAAATGATCTCAACAGGCTTTCGAGGCAAAGCTGGTGATCCTGGTGATGAAGGTGAAAGAGGATCTACAGTTGATGGTAAAAATGGCCCTCCAGGTCCACCTGGCATAGATGGTCAGAAAGGTGTTCCAGGTGATACCACATATGGTCCTCCAGGAATCCAAGGCAACAGGGGACTGCAAGGACCTCCTGGTGCACTAGGAGCAAGGGGTGATCCAGGCATTCCT